TCAGGTCAATGTAGATGTCTGATACAGACATTTTCACCACATACATCCAAATGGAAAGGATACCCACCCCCCTGGAAGAAAGGACTAGAGTATTTTTAATATCGTTCTCTGACAGCTACCACATCCTTAAACCTTGCCCTTGGGTTCAAAGACACGATAAGTTATTCATATTAATCTCAGAGATGAGAATGAGAACGAGGCTCTCCCTTTCCCTCCAATGCCATTGGGTGTGGTACAAGTGCTTACACAGCAGTGTCACCATGCTGGCTCCAATCTTCAGACAGAACTGAAGCGACCTGTTCTTGAGTCCTCAGATGTGATTGGAACTACAAGAGGCTTCTGCAAATCACATGCAAGCAACGCCCGTGGCAGTGCCTTCTCCTCTGCTTCTGAGGGCTTGGTCTGTGTGTGGTGTGAGCCTGTCCTATGCGTACCAAAGGCAACAGATGTTCTCTCCTCTTCTGGCAAACAAGAAAGGACAAAGCTAGCACTTTCAAAGGAGCAAAGCTGCAGAGAGGCCCATGACCATTCGGTGGGGAAGAGCTAAGGTCTGCTCAGGAGCAGCTCTATGTCGGGAGGCAGGTTAATATCTCCAAAGAGACATGAGAGCAGGGGACTTTGAGGGCAGATCTGAAAGGTGGTGAGCAGACTTCGTTCTGTGGAGACAGGCAGACAGTGAACTTAGGGTGTGATCATCACATGCAGACTAGATGGCCAGTCTACAGCGGGAGTCTCACAGTGTTTCCTAGACACTCACCTACCCCCAGCTTAAAGGTACAAGTTTCTAGCCCCCTCATCACCTTGCATCAGAACCTGGGGAGAGGCCCAGGAAGCTGTGTGTGCCAGCTAGAGACTGAGGCTTCGCACACTGCACCCTGAGCCACTAAACCCAAGGTAGAAAGGCTGCATTTGAAATACCTCAAAATCAGGGACGGTAACAAAGTTACTTCGTACTAAATTCATAGAAAATACTGCACAAACATTAATTGAACAAATGAATAAAGTCCGAGGAGGTGAGGGCCTAGTGGAGATAATTGCAAAGAGACGATGTAAGAAGTGAGCAGAGCCCAAATCCCGCCTGGAACTGTTTTACAGTAGAACTGGCCCTCATTTTACTGGGGTCTAGCTAAGTCACTGTATAGGGTACAGCTATACAGTCCAAGAACTAGTGATCTGCCTGCCTCAACTTCCCCAGGGTTGGGGTCAAAGCTGTACATCACCACTTTGGGATTACAATGGTCTCTTAATGAGTTCCATTTTGTAAATAATTTATGAAATTTTCTCCTGTTGGATCATTGCCAACACCAAAAACTGTATTGAGATTTTTTTTTCCCAGAGGCCATAGGTGAAGAACATTTAGTAACTTCCTCCATTGTGGGCCCTTTCTCCTACCTGAAGGAGAACTCACAATTAACAAGGTGACGAGGGTGTGCCAGGGATTGGTTGCCCAAATTCTAGACCGTCAGAGGGTAAGGTGGGAGGAAGCAGGCACAGCCAGGATGGGACAGACCCTGAGTGGTTAGGTACGGGGGACCTGACAAGCCTTAAGCTGCCATGCTGCCGTTCTGAGTGGAGTCCAGTCCTGGAGTACAGAGCACAGAGATCCAGTCCTTACTATCTTTGATTGCCAAAGGGATGAGTACCACCACCCCCAGGGGATTAGGCAGTGACAGGAAGTCACTTTTGTATTAGCATCTACTCTTCACCATTATCATAAAAACGTCCCATTTAGTCTCCACCATCTTATCTGGTGTCATTTTATGAGCTGGGTCAGAGATGCTGATTTGCCTGAGATCACACAGTAATAGTGCTGAGATACCAACCAACAGCCAGATTCTAAAGCCTGAATCTCCTCTTTTCTTAAGAAATTGCATGAGTGCATGAGGTTATAGTGTCAGCCACCACACACCCATGACGTCTAGTCTATCTGTTCACCTGAGCAGTGAGGACGTCATTGTAAGTAACAAGTGCAAAGTTGTGATGCAGAGGTTTTGATCAGAAAGGCAGAGCTCTGCACCAGTGAGTGGCTGCATTTCAGTTCATAGCACCTTTAGAAGCACGGCATCTTTCCACCCCAATGGTCTACCTATGCATTTATTCCTAGCAAGTGGTTTTGTTTCGTTTTGTTTTTATTTTGTTCATTTGTTTTTTAATTGTGTGTGTGTGTGGTGTGGAATGAATGCATGTGTGTGTGTGTGTGTGTGTGTGTGTGTGTGTGTGTGTGTGTGTGTTGTAGAGGCTGAGGAAAAACCCTCAAGTACCATTCCTTCTTGGACTCCATGCAGATATCATCCATCTTGTTGTTGTTGTTGTTGTAGACACTGTTTCTCACTGTCCTCGAACATGCTAAGGAGGCTTGGCTGGCTGGTCGATGAGCTCCAGAGATTTGCTTGTCTCGGCCTCTCTAGCCAAGCACTCACCACCATGTGTAGCTTTGTTCGACATGGTTCTTGGAGATCAAACTCAGATCCTAATGCTCATGGACCATCTCCCTAGCCCATTGGCTGTTCGGAAATGTTTTCTATGGAAACTGTTTGGTCTCACTTTTCCTATAAAAGCCGTACACTCTTTGGCCTCTTCTGTCCCATTTCATGACTAGTGACTTTGAACCCTGAGGTGTCTTGAGACATGAGATGTCTATTTGTTTCTAGAGAGAATGAAGCCCTAAACTCTTCCTATTCCTCTTTCTTCCTCCTGTGGGATCGCTACTCATCAGGACACTTAGCAAGCAACTTGATCAAAAGGCTCTCAGAAATAAGAGGCTTGACTTGAAATGTTGGTTGGTGGGTTTGAGGCACAGGGTCTTAAAAAGGGCTTTCATTTTACTTTCCATTTCAAGTGCAAATGTGTGTTTTAATATTTGCCTTGAGCATATTTGAGGGGGGAATAGTGGTGGTAAGAAATGACTGCACTGGCTAATTCAGTCAAATCATTGTGACAACTCATTTTAGCTTTTTATAGGAAAGATGCGACATAAGCCAAATACACATACCACACATTTACTCAGTAAATATGCTGACAGTGTTTAGAAATTTTAAAGTTTTTTAAGGGTACTATGGGGTAAAGACTAAGAAATTACCCTTATTAAATAACATTAATAATACCATAATTAATGGAATTTGGTCTTTGGAGTTTAATTTCCATCTCTCACTTCCAACAATTACCCATTGCTGTTGCAAAGGCTTCCATGGTGGTCAGAGAATGAGCTGGGCTTCTTTGGGGGTGCATAGGAATACGGGGGTCCTGTAGAGCCAAGCTGAAGCCCAAGAACTCCCAGGTTTTTGTTTCCTGAGTCTTTGACATCTGCAGCAAAGAGGAGACTGTGTAGACAGACAGTGCTAGGATCCAGCCAGTATACACAAGGACGACTCTCAGCTCAAACACTGAAATTCTTTTCTGCTGGCTGAAAAACGGCAAGTTCTCTTAGATCTCACTAAACTCACTCCTGTGCACACACATGGTCTTCCTTTATGCTCCGTCAGTTTACTGAATCCAGTAAGTTAAGGTTATACTTAATCTAGCAAAGAGTCCTACAAAAATTGGCCACATTCACCACACTAAAGAGTCTGACATATCACTTTGTCCTTTATTGATAATGCATAATCTTCTTGGATCAGGATTTCTCCTATTTACGTTTCTATATGAATTTAATACCAATTTAGAATAGATGGGAAGGAAGAAGATGAGAGGAGAGAGAGACAGAGAGAGAGAGACAGAGACAGAGACAGAGAGAGAGAGAGGAGAAAGGGAGGAGAGAGAGAGAGAGAGAGAGAGAGAGAG